AAGACTAGACAAAAGAACAACGTCAGACCCTCGGACTTAAGAAACAGCATTTGCTGGCTGGTGTCAGTCTGTCCTGACTGACTTGATCCATAAACCTTGGGGGGAAACTCCGAAGCTCTTGGTAAAATATTTCACAGAAATATTTTCAAATTCCATCTTCTGAATTTCAGTGGTTTCTGTAGGCTCATACGTCCCACAAGGCAAAGATAAAGTTACCACAAGGTTCAAATACAGCATAACTACAAATTACATTGATTTGTGGAATGGAAAACGGCTTCCACAGCGAGCGGAGCTGTGCCTTACAATCGGTGTGTACCACATCCCTGGGGATCCCGATAAAACCACGTTCCAGGCTTCCCCATGAACGAATGACAGCATCAATAAGCCTGCACCAGGCTATCAGGTCCTGTGTGTCCTGATTACAGTGACCAAGAAAAGAACAGGCTCTCTGAGAGGAGAGGACCACCCAACAAAGAAAGACAGTGCTCAGCTCAGACCCTTGCCCAAATTATGTCTGATTTCATCTCCCACGGTTCCTGAAATCCTGCAGAGTTCTAATGTTTACTTTTAACTTTAAAATTATATGTATCTAGTTTGTGTGTATGTGTTCATAAATACATGTGTGCCTCAGTGCAAGCACAGAGGTCGTAGGGCAGCTTACAGAAGTCAGCTCTCTCCTTCCACCACATGGATTTTGAGGACTGAACTCAAATCGTAAGACTTAGCAGCGAGTGTCTTTACCTCTGAGCAATCTTGCTGCTCCTACTAGTAGTTCTTAATTAAATTTTTTAAGCTGCCAGTAGTGGTGCATGTCTTTAATCCCAGCAGAGGCAGAAGCAGAGGCAGGTGGAGCTCTGAGATCGAGGCCAGTCTGGTTTACAGAGTGAGTCCCAGGACAGCCAAGGCTACACAGAAAAACCTTGTCTCAAAAACAAAACAAAACCAACAACAACGAAAAGCGCACACACACACACACACACACACACACACATCAGTACATGATCAATAAATTTCACTGGAATCGGGGTTAAGTTAGTCAATGGTAAGTTTCCTGTTGCTGTTGTAGCTTTGCTAGTTTGGTTTCCTGAGTCTGGCCTCAGCCTCCTTTAAGCTGGAATTGGGGGGGGGGGGGGGCATGTCCAGCTCACACTGAACTCTGAGACTTGAAGTCGCTCAAAAGTCTCCATGGGCCAAATGTTTCAAGTCCTCCATCACCGGTTTTCTGGAGCTTTCCAGGTACATCCAACCTATGTCCTGGAGGCCGGATGCACCTCAGGGAGAATGAGACCCAACATAATTCTTTTTTGTAACTTGGTTGCAGGGTTCTCCAGCGTGAGTGATGTCAGTGATGATGTTAGAGCCTGACACATCTGCTAGACTTGACCCTGGGGAGTCCATGCTACAAGGATTGGCTAGGTGGACAGTTGCTGCCCAATGATGAACCTACTGGAACGCAGGCAACGAAGCTGCCAAGGATGATACTCAACATACTAGTGACTCTGACCAGGAAGGGACACTGCCTGGGTCTCAGAAGCCCCAGGTCTCCCTCGGATGTCTTCTGGCCTACCCTCCCTATGGACAGGTGAAGGACTAGGACTGATTCCCAAGGCTGTCATTAAAAAGGCTCTTACTCGAACCCTGCAGGAGCCACGTGACTACAATGGTGCTGGCCTAAGGACCAGAGTATAATCTCCAGGACCTAGAGAAAAAGCTAGACATGGTGGCATATGCTTGCAATCCCAGCACTGGGGAGACAGATGTCACAATCTCTGGTACTCACTAGCTGGCCAGTGAGTCTGGCTAGTCTAAATGGTGAGCTCCCATGAGAGATCCTGCTTCAAAGGAGGCGGTCAGTATTCCAGAGGATGACCCAAGGTCCTGAAGTTGTCCTCTAGGCTTTGCATATATGCACCTGCACTTACAACTTTTTAAGCTTCATTTTTATTTTTAATTAGGTGTATGAGTCCAGATGTGGGTATGTGCACATGAGTGCAGTGCCCACAGAGGTCAGAAGAGGGCATCAGAACCTCTGGAGTGAGAGTTTCAGGCAGTTCTGACCAGCCTGACATGGATGGTGGGTAGTAAACTCAAGTCCTCTGGAAGAAAATCAAGGAATCTCTCCCCTCTCCATACACATGCTTTAAGAAAGGAAGAGGGAGGCTGGGCAGTGGTGGCGCACGCCTTTAATCCCAGCACTTGGGAGGCAAAGCCAGACGGATTTCTGAGTTCGAGGCCAGCCTGGTCTACAGAGTGAGTTCCAGGACAGCCAGGACTACACAGAGAAACCCTGTCTCGAAAAAAAAGAAAGAAAGAAAGGAAGGAAGGAAGGAAGGAAGGAAGGAAGGAAGGAAGGAAGGAAGGGAAGGAAGAGGGAGAAGAAAGGCCATCTCTCTTCTGATCATAGTTGTTAAAACCTTGTAGTCCTGCCCCATCCCCAGGAGAATGAAATTTACAGAGGCCCAAGAAAATTGAGCAGACAATGTCTCAAAGTCTTTGGTCTTCATATGTGAAGGCTCGTGGGCCTGTTATACTTTCTGTAGTTAGTGTGTCTTTTGTTGAAGGCATTTTGGATGTGACTCTTAGGAGGCTGAGACAAGGGCCATACCTTCTTGTCTACAAACCTAATAAAATGACACACAATTCTCAAAGATCTGTAGTTAAGTGACAATCTCAATGAGTCTAATGCTGTCATTACTGTCCAGACTACCAATGAATGCCCAACAATAAAACAAAGTTATGAGGACCCCCCGGAAGTAGCACTTAACCTCAAACTCCAGTTCCACAGCAGGTAAACATCACTCAGGTTCAGAGTCAGCCATGGGTGGCCAAACAGGCTGCAGAGACAGACACATAGCGCAGAGTCTATTTACCTGTGGATATAAGCCACCCGGCTCCCTGGGCTATTTTCATGGCAGCAGAAAGCCAAAACAAACAAAATACAAATGACTGGTGCCAAGACTCCAGGGCTTCTTCCTACTTTCCCCTTCACAGGTGCTTTGGGGAAATTTGCAGGAGAATTTGAGTGGGGGTCCTGCCTATTCTCACAGCACCATGAGGCCATGTCCAGATCAGTAGAGATGACAGGATTAAATTAAGACAGGAAAGCAGGAACTGCCTGCCAGCCCCTTCCTCTCAGAAGGTTTCCCTCTTACTGTGTTTGATCCTGGACTTTTCTACACTTCTGCTGCAACTTTGCTGAGATCTTTCTGCTTATGTGCAGTGTGCTCAGACCTCAGTTTTTTCCATTCAACTTCCCCTGTCTAGGAACATCTAGATTGCCTTAGCTGAGATTCTAAGCCAAGCTCTGAACTTTTCAACATCATACCCACTTTCCATAGCATAAGCCTCTCAGGGCCAGGAGCCATTTTTCCAGCATTTTTAAAGGATGTGGGGTAGTCCTTTCCCCTCCTATTGCCAGGCCATAACAGTATTGAAGGACAAAGGCATACTTCTGCTAAAGGCAGGGGCTACTTCAGTCTAGTATTTTAGAGACTCAGACACTGGATGGATCTAAGAGGAATCACTGGGTCACTTGATTCAGTAAAATATCATAAGGATATTTTTTCAGGCAGGAATAAAACCTTTCATTATCAATGCCTTTAGTGGAACAGGAAAAAGGACAATGGGCCTCTCCCACAGTAGATCTACAACAAATATTTCTGAGCTGGCCTGAACACTTTTAGAAGGCAGAGCAAGGACTGTCTGAGAAGAGAGCCAGGTGCAGTATGGGTGTTATTCTAGGCCAGGTAGCACAAGCGACACGCCCTCTGGATCCTGATCCAACTGATAAAGCCAAACACTGGAGGAATGACTGATACCTCTCAGCTCCTTTCTCTACAGCCTTTCTCTCTGCATTAGTTCTACTTTAAAAGAGTCAATCTGAGAAGGCAGAAGAGCAAGCAAGCACCTACTGTGGCAAGTGATTTTCCTTCAAAAGACTCCAATATGGAGTCCAAGAGTCCCTGAACCAGCTCCAGCTCACCATCCCCAGAGGAGGACGGTTTAGTTCAAAAAAGGCTAGAGGAGCGGCTCTGTGGCACAACCCTGTAATCTCAACACTGTGGAGGCAGAAAGTCCAGGGGTTCAACACCAGCCTCAGCTACACATGAAGTTGGGATGCCAGCCTGGACTACATAAGACCCTGTCTCAAAACATCAAGAAGCTGATGAGCTGAAAGAGACTCGTGACTTCCAGAAACTATTTCCCAACGACTGCCGCTCAGTCCAACAGAGAATGACATCAGCTCCACTATCCGGAAACACAAATCCGACAAAGTATTAGGTAGGGAATGTCCAAACGTTGGAGCTTTGCCTTTCTAAAACACACCCATGCCTCTTCCTCTTAAACCTGAACGGAAGCTGTGGGCACAACACTGAATGATCAGGCGCCTGGTCCGAACCCACACTGACCTGGAAACCACTTGGAAGCAAGAACTAGGCTGGCAAGACAGGCAGGAGCCACGTCCTCCTTCGTCTGGGCTCCAGACTCCGCGATCGTGCAGTTCCCCTCCTCTCCGATATGCCTGTACCCGTCTGGGAACCCGTGTGAAACTCACAGGAATAAGAGCAAAAGACGCGTGGGCCCGGAACAGCTAAAGAGCATCTGGAAAATTACCCTACTTTTTGTCTATTCGCTTTTGCTTTCAGAGTACGCACCGGATCGTTCTCCAAATCGCAACTTAGCTACTAAAGGTTACTAGAGAAAACCGCACCTTTTCCTATAAGCCCGAGGGGCACAATTCGGGAGGTTCAGATGGAGCTATGTAGTCCAGGCCTGAGAACCAAACACAACCGGAGCACTGCCGGAACCCCTCGCCCTCAATCCCGCCCAGAGCCCGCCACCTCGGGTCCCACGACGTCCCTACTCGCCGCTCGCGGAGAGCGCGGTGCCCGGGCACTCTGAGCAGGTGCTAAAGCGCGACCCCCGCCTCCGTTGCCGCCCCGTGCCCAGCGCCCCGAATCTGGTGTTCCCCACAGGGCACCCAGCAGGGCCGCACTCACCGCCGCCCGCGCCGCCAGTCGAGCCGGGAGGTCTGCGCTGGCCGCGCGCGCGGGCCGGGAGGGCTCCGGGGGCGGGGATGTTTCGGGGCGTGGCTTGAGGGAAAGGGCCAGATGGGGCGGGGTCTGGGAGGGGCGGAGCGACAGTCTTAGAGGCAGGAGGGGTGGGGATGAAGCTGCGACCTGAGTGGGCTCGCGAGAGGCGGGGCGCGCGGAGGCGGGGCCAAAAGGTTGGGCGGGAGGCGGACGCCGGAGCCGCGAGGCCTGGGAGAGGGAGGGGCCAGATTATTCTTTGTTTCTAACAGCCACAGCTACACTCCCACCAAAAACAAGGCATAACGACTACCTACAGAATGGGAAACAACATTTGTATGTCATGTAGCTGATGAAAGTCTACTGTTCAAATTGTATAATGAACAGTACAGGGGGTAGAGGCATATATTTCAGGTCAACTTGATCTACAACAGTGAGTTCCAGGAAGCTAAGGCTTTATAGTAAGATCTGTCTCAAGAAACCAAAATCTAGCCAGACTGCAGCTCAGCTGGTAGAGGGCTGGCATTAGCATGCATGAAAACCAAGTTCACCCCAATGCCCCGTAAATGAGTATAGTGCCACAGGCCTGCAACCCCAGCACTTTTTAAGGCTGAAGAGTTTCTCAAAAGAGTTGAGGCTAATCTGGGAAACTTAGGAAGTTTGAAGCCAGCTTCAGATACACGGTACATGTCGGGGTGTGTGTGTGTGTGTGTGTGTCTTGCTGTGTAGCCCCACCTGGCCTTGAACTCACAGAGATCTGCCTGCTTCTGTCTCCTTAGTGCTGGGGCTGAAAAGCTGTTGAGATTATGGTAGCTGAAGCTATGCAGAGGCTGTTCACATTACAGTAGACCAAGATGGAAAAGAGTAAGTAATCGGAGCCAAGAAACAGAATTAACCTTCAATGGCCACCCTTAGCAGCTAGACCCTGCCTCCTAAAGTCTATAATCTCAGTGCTGGGATGGGAAAGGCAGGAAGATCCCTGCAGTTTGCTGGCAGCCAGCCTACAGAACTGGAGAACCTCGGGTTCAGCTGAGATTCTATACCAAAAAGTGTAGTGGAGTACACCTGGCAGAGGAAATACCATATTATGAGCATGAAATTGCTTTTCCCAGGGTGAGGCTCATGCATTGTATTCCTCACGTGCTGATCCTAGGATTTCCCCAAACGAGGGGACCTCAAATGCTTAATGTGTGGTATAGGATTAGCATCAGTAGTTGGGGTGCAGACTATGTTCAAGCTCTCAATTTTTTTTAAATTAAAACAAAAAGACAGAGGACAATTGAGGAAGTCATGTGACACTGGCCTATGGCCCGTCTACATGGATCTGTGCATGCGTGTATATGTGTGTGCACACACCCAGCGGGTACCGTTGGAAGGGAAGGGAAGAAACAATGCTTCCCCTGGTGCACTGCTGGTGCACGTGAGAGGGTGTAGGTGCTGTTCTGATTCCAGGTGGCATACAAAACTGAAAACGAGCGTTCCAATTTGTACCGCTGTACAAGGCTGTTGAAGGCCGTGATGTGCACCAGAGCCAAAGGGAGTATAAAAAACTCAAGTGCTCATCAGATCAGTGGATAAGCAAAATGTGGCCCGTGCACACCAGAGAGTGTGATGTATTCAAACCTAACAAAAGAATGAAGTGCTGCGTGCCACCACAGCAGGAAGACTTTGGGGACATTGTGCAAGGTGAAAGAAGGCAGGCACACAAGTAGCCACTGATCCTATGGTCTCATTTGCATAAAGTATGCCCAGAGCAGGTAAATCCATGGACAAAGCAGATCAGTGGCTGGTTGGGGCTGGAAAGATCAGGAGGAGCAAGGGAAGCTGCTGACTAGGATTAGACTGACATTGTTTGGGAAGGAGGTAGTGGTGATGGGGGCACAGCTCTGAATGGTTAGGTGCTGCTGATCGGCAGCTCAAAGACAGTTCAAATGTTATGCTTTTATGTTACGTAAACTGACTCCCTTATTTCTTTCTTTCCTTCCTTCTTCACACAAGGTATTAGTATGTATCCTAGGCTGACTTCTAACTCACAGCAATTCTTCTGTCATAGCCTCCAGAGCTGGGATCATAGGCATCTCCTACCACACCCAACTTTATCTCCATGTGTGTTGGTGGAGTGTTTGTATGTATGGGTGTGCATGAAAGCAAGTGTGTATGTGTGTGTGCGCGCGTGCGCGTGCACGCGCCAGAAGTTGACTGAGGATGTAGAACAATCAAAGAAGACACCTGATCTTGAGACAGGATTCCTCAGTAACCCTAGAGCTGCTGATTTAGCCTGGGTGGCTGGCCACATGTCTCTCCCTCCCTCTGTGGGGTTGGGTGTCCACATGCAAGTCCTCACAGTCCAGCAGCAGGCACTTACCCGTTAGACCATGTCTCCCAGCCTCTTAATTCTTTAAAAATCTAAATAATGGATTTAGACAAGAAAAGAGCAAGGTAGTTAGTTGGTGTGGGAAAGAGCTGACACAAACCCCCACTTCAGAAGTGTACTTTATTAAGAGACAGGAGCTTGAAATCATGACGGCCATCATCAGGCCTTGATGCAGAAGAGCCTTAGAAAGGGACAGTACATCATTTCAGTGATGGTGACTGCGGAGGGGGACAAGGACAGGCTTTCCTTTAGAACCTGGAGAAGAGTGTCCTGGAGAGAGAACTTTCAACAAAGACAATGACTGGCAACCCTGTGGTGGTTTGACTGAGAGTGCCCTCCATAGGTTCATAGGGGTTAGGAGGTGTGGCCTTGCTGGGGAAGTCACTGGGGGTGGGCTTTGAGGTTTCAAAAGCCTGTGCCATGCTTCTGCCATGTTGATAATGGACTAAACCTCTGAAACTGTCAGCAAGCCCCAATTAAATGCTTTCTTTCACAAGAACAGCCTTGGTCGTGTCTCTTCACTGAACTAGAATGGTGACTAAGACATCCCCTAAACAAAACACATATCTGACCCTAACATCTTCTTGGGGGATGGTGGGAAGTCCCACAGCACATGACTTATTGCAACATGACATAAGCCTTGTGATGAAAAGCACAGAAAACCTAGTTAGGGCTATAAACTAGGAGCTATGAAGCCACATAGTGTTGTGCTGAGTTTTGCTACATCACTGTGGCTTCCGGTGGAGCCTGCCTAGGAGCTGTCTTTGGATCCTCAAATGAAACACACACACACACACATTAGCTTATTAGTAAATGCCTTGGCTACCTCAAAGGCTGGGCACTAAACCTTCCCCTGCTACCTCAGGCCCAATCAGAGAAGTGGCCAGTGGCCACTTACCCAAAGTCTCACATGTCTGGATGGGTTTATCTCCTACCGATCCTGTGTCTCCTTCTTCTACCCCAAGTCATGGAGATCCTCCTGCTCCTCCCTGCATCCTACCCACGCAACTCTACGTGTCCTGCCCCATACCCAATCATTGGCTGTTGGCATCTTTATTGATTGATCAAAAACCAATTGAGGACCAGGACCTTCAGTGTCTGGACAGCAGATTCTCAGTTGAATCAAAACATTAGAACCGATCTCCAACAACATAGCATGTCTTAACTCTGTCTGGCCTGTGGAATTGGGAGACATGGACTGGTTTCTTCAGACTGTGGGACCTGGCAATTTAGAGTGACCAGTCTCTGAACAGAGCAGGCCCATGATCCAACGTGATAAAGCAGGAGAGGCTGGGACACAGCATGTTCCAGCACCTTGAGATTCACATGGTTGAGAAAGGAAGCCATCTCCTCTGGGACTACAGAAATGGCAGCGACAGGTTCCTGACAGAATGCAGAACAATCCTGTTTCACCTTTTTTGTTTTAAATAAAAATTACATAACACACATCTGGAAGGGGGAGGTACATACACAGAAACATCTGGAAAAGGTTCTTAAACTTTCTCAAGGATAAAGGACACAATAAATAGTTGTATTTAATATAATATAATCAGAGGATTTTTTGGTTTTTTTTCTGATTTTTTTATAAGCAAACATAAATTGTTTGTCTAAAAACAGGGCTGATGAGAGAGCTCAGTGGATAAAGGTGCTTGCTGCCAAACTTGACAATGTGAGTTCAGTTCCAGCACTCAAGCGGCAGGGTGATCTCTGTGATTTGAGGTCAGCCTGGTCTACATAGCAAGTTTCAGGCTAACCAGGTTGACATAGTAAGACTCTGTTTCCAAAAAAGAAACACGGCTTCTGGAAGCAGCCTGCACAGCGGTTGTGGGTGACCCACAGCCTGGGAACTAATGTTTCCATAACACCTATCCATCTCCAAACATGGGCATCAGAAAAGCCAGAAAACAAAACAAAAATATACCAGAGAAAGGGATACAGGATTAGTCATACGGCACTTATCCCAAGCCTAACTGACAACCTGAATTCAATGCCCGGCCCTACACAGTCAAAGAAGAGAAACTTCTGTAAGTGGCCCACATGCATGCACACATGTGAGAGGGATGGGGCCGGAGAAGGAAAGAGAATGGAAATGAATAAAAAATGTTTTGTAATAGCTTGGGGCCTGGAGAAGCGGTTCCTTTATAAAAAGAACTTGCTGCTGGTCCAGAGAGAATCCAAGTTCAGTTCCCAGCATCCATGTCAGAGAGCTCCAGAGATCTGACGCCCTCTTCTGGACTCCACAGGTACCTACATGCATGTGGGCACACAAACACGCACATGAATAAAATAAAATAATAAAACCTGGCATGCTGATGTACTTGGGAGACAGAGGCAGGAGGGGGAGGAGCTCAGTCTTCACTGCACAAAACTGTGAGATTAGCCTGGGCTACATGAGCACCCGCTCAAAAGACTCAAAACAACAACAGGGCCATTGCAGTGAGAGGACATTAATGATAGCTTACATGAAAGGGGCACAGAAGACAGCCATTGTGAGCAGCCTGACAGGGGACCTAGGAGGGCATAGAAACTTCAGAGACATGCCTCAAATAAAGGGGGCCTCTAAGTTCTCTGGGTTGGTGGGAAATTCCACACCATGTGTTTTAGCACAACACCTGCCTGACAGAAAACCTTCAAGGGCGAGGAGCTGAGGGACCACAGCACAGAAGACATGACA